CCCCACCCATTCTAGATATTCCATAGTTCTCCCCACCCGTTCTAGATGTTCTACTTTACCCACCCCTGTTCTAGATATTCCATAGTTCCCCACCTGTTCTAGATGTTCCTCTTTCCTCTTTCCAATCTTATCTGTAAGCCTTAGCATTTCCTGACAGCCTCCCACCCAAAAGTAACTGGATTCAACCCTCTGTTGCCTTATTCAAGATTATCCATGATCAATTTGAGGCTTAAGGGAACGAGATCTTTATTTCTCCCAAACCAAGACAAGAAAAGATGGCACTCACAATATTCATAAGGGTGAGAAGATAGTTCTGCACGTATTCTTTGCCATGGAATCGGACCACGGAATCATCTACCCCAAGGAGAACCTCAATATTGTAGTCGTTTTCTCCGGCGTGTCTGCGTCGCCTCAGCGTTTTGTTCAGGTCCTGCTCTATTCTTGCATAAGTCGACTCCAGGCTGAGTGAATCAGATTCTGAGTGAAGCAAGGAAACAAATCCAAGGATTAGAAGTTAATTACCATTATCTGCAGCTGGACCGTAATTCTCCGCAGAGAATATCCCACGTATGTAATAGAGATTCTGTCTGCTCAAAAAACAAACGCCGTACATCTGGGATTACATCTGGAATCTTAAATCATGAGGCTTAAAGTCAAGAGAATGATTGGCAACATAAACTCAGTCAGAGATTAGTCCAGATTAAGTTTGATGTTTCTTCAGGATGACCGAATCTGATTCTTTACTGTTAGTCCTTTTGCTGCTTATCTGGAGACCATGAAGATTCAAGAGGGTCTTAGGTGAGTTCTAAGCACTTCCTCAACTGTGGTTCTTCAGATCCTAGGCCCAGTGGTGTTCTAAGCACCCCCGTGGCTTTATTTATTACATTTTTATCCTGTCTTTATCATTTTATAAGCAACTCAAGGCATTGAACATCCATTATACTCTTTTCTCCTCCCACTTTCCCCACAACAATAGTGGGTGGGATTGAGTGACTGGCCCAAAGACATACAGTTGGCTTTGGTTCGTAAGGAGGACTAGAACTCAGAGTCACCTGCTGATTGGCCCAAAGTCACTTCACTGGCTTTCAATTCCTAAGGTGGGACTAGAACTCCTGGTGATCAGTCCAAAGAAACCCAGCCAGCTTTCATGCCTAAGGCACGAGTAGAACTGTCTCCTAGTGATTGGCCCAAATTCACCCAACCAGCTTTCATGCCTAAAGTGGGATTCGAACTCACAGTCTCCTGGTTTCTAGGCCAGCACCTTTACCACCACACCAAACTGGCTACCCATCAAGATATTCACGCGGGAACCATCAATAAGAAAAGGCCATTAACACATGACTAGGAAGCAATTACATATATTGGCAAAAAAAATATCAATTATTATAACCCTCATTCTCACTAAATGTAGCAGAAAGAAAATAAGGGAAGTAACCTTAGCTAATGTGCAGGTGTGGGATTCAAATGTTTTAACAACCAGTTCTATAGAACCGGTCCGAACCGGTAGAATCCCACCCCCTGCTAATGCACCAATTAGGGGGAACAGGCAAAGTGACACTTCTGTTTATTTAAATCCAATTACATCTACAATGTAAAAAAAGATGTTGAGATTCTAGAAAGAGTGCAGAGAAGAGCAAGAAAGATGATGCAGGAGGCCGACTAGGCCATGCCCATCATGTCCACACCCACCCAGCAACTGGGCAGAGAGCCAGTTGCTGATATTTCTGAAGCCTACCCCTGTGGCTGCCATATAGCTCCAACGCACTGCAGAGGCTCCTGCTGCCCATCCTCTCTCTTAGCGCTGCTGCCACCGACAAAACAGCCAAAGAAATCACCTCCCCCTACTAGTCTGCTTGCGGGCCAGATCTAAACATTTTACAGGCTGGATCTGGCCCACGGCGTGGTGAGATTCAAACCATTTTACTACCGGTTCTGTGGGAATGGCTTGGTGGGCATTCCTCACTCCTGGGGGAAGGTTACTGCAAAATCCCCCTTCCCTCCCCACCCCACTAACCTGCTTTTCAGCTCCGTTCTCCTGTGCAGGTCAACAAAAGAAGACCCAGCTGATCAGGCGGAGAATTAGATGGGGGCAGGGCCAGTCAGAGGTGGTACTTGCCAGTTCTCTGAATCACTCAAAATTTCCACTATCAGTTCTCCAGAACTGGTCAGAACCAGCTGAATACCACCTGTGGCCCACAGAGTTTGAGTTTGACATGTCTGCCATAAACACAGTTTACAAAACATAGCAATCTTTCTGGTCCCGTTTTGGCCAATCTGCACGCCGGCCTCATGATGTCATCTCACTCGACACCCTTCTCCCCAATTTTTTGAGTAGATTAGCCTGGAAAGAGAAGCCACTTATGGAAAAGCAATGTGAACATTCACCCTTTCTCACCCTCTTCCCCAACGTTTGTCTGCTAATATCCCTGAAGAGCAATCGTGGATATTAAAAGTAAAGCTTGCTTGTAATTAACAAGTCAGCCCTGTGTTTTAGTATCTGGTGCTTGGTGTAATGTCTTTGCTCCGAGCAGTATATCTACGGCCTTCCCTTGATTTTATACATCAAAGTGTTGCAATTGCCACCAGTTGAGCGTAACGAAGTTTAGCATTGATTTGCACACCAATTAAAAAGACAAAACGCACCAACAGTTGGAGATCAGCGATGATTGTCTGCTGTTTCTTCCCAGCCTGCCATTAGCCAGATCACAAAGTGTACAAAATCCAAAGGGTACACCGGTATGCTTGATCAAAAGCTTAATGACTAGATTAAAAGGAGTTCAACCATGGCTTGTGTGAAGTCCCCTAGCGTGCTTTTCAACTGAATTGCCTTGGGCTAAATTGAATCTTTCTAGCTCAGAGGCAGCCTGAAAACTGTCAAAGTTGGACCGACTTTTGGAAATTCCACTGAGAAATATGCCATTGTGCTGTTTTAGATGTATTTAAGGTTCTGTCTGTCTATCTGTCGGTGTTAGTATCGCTGTCTACTGCTTTGGCAAGACCACATCTGGAATACTACCCTGTTTCTCCAACAATATGGCCTCCCCCAATAGGAAGTCCCAGCATGTTTTATAGGCATGAAATGAAATTAAGCCCCTCCCCCCAAATTAAGGCCTATATTAAAACATGCGAAATGGGGGGGAATGGTGGGGGGGCTTGCCATTAGGAAGTACTTTTGTTGCACACCCGGATATGGTGCTGCCTGCGTTGACCCTGATACGAAGTGCCCCACCAACGCCGAGGTCAACATCCAAGCCGTCACCACCCGCCTGCCCGAAGATGCAAGGGGGGAGGAATTAAGTCACCCCTGAAAAGACGGCCTAGCCATTTTTTCGGGGCTCAAAAAAAAATAAGACCCGGCCTTATTATATGAGAAACACGGTATGTCCAGTTTTGGTCACCACAATACAAAAAAAGATGTTGAGACTCTAGGCCAGGGGTCTCCAACCTTGGCAACTTTAAGAGTTGTGGACTTTAACTCCCAGAATTCCTGAGCTAACATGACTGGAGGAGGAATTATTGGAGTTGAAGTCCACCAGTCTTCAAGTGGCCACGTTTGAAGACCCCTGCTCTAGAAAGAGTGCAGAGAAGAGCAACAATGATGATTAGGGGACTGGAGGCTAAAATATATGAAGAACAATTGCAGAAACTGGGCCTAGATAATAAAGAGGATTAGGGGTGAAATGATAGCAGTCTTCAAGTGTTTGAGATGATGTCACAGATAAGGGGGGGGAGGTCATGTTGTGGTTATCCGGCAGCAGGTGCAGATGGCTGAGGAGAGCGAGGACTCTGATGAGGGGCCAGGACCGTCAGGGAGTGGACTGCTGCCTTCAGGGATTGTAGGGGCTGGCAGCAGTGAAGAGGTGGTTCCCAAGAAGCCTGTGCCAAGTGCACGTGCACAAAGGATTACTCGGAGGAAAGAACAATTACAGAAGCACAGGCAACTCAGGAGTAAGGCTGCAAGGTAATGGCCCCTCCCTCAAGAGGATAAAAGCCAGGTTTGAAAAAGGGTTCTTTGCAGAAAGCAAAGAAGCTCTGAAGCTCAGCTTGTGGACATCTTAGTTCGTGTTTGGAGAATTTTGTAAATTAGTTCTTATCTCTGGGTTTTTGGCAGCATTGACGAACAACTTGGCAAGGCTCTTTCTTGTCAGAGCTAATTAGTGGAAAGCAGCCTTTTATTTGTAAAGGAACAGAATTTGTTATTAAACTGTAAAAGGTGGGGGCTGCTGCCTTTGTCTGTTTTTGCTCTTTGGGAACCCGGTTGGGTCAGAACAGGTCAACCTATTCCCCAAAGCACCTGTGGGCAGGACAAGAAGCAACAGATGGAAATTTAATAAAGAGAAATTCAACCTAGAATTAAGTAGAAAAGATTAATCAATCAGTGGAATGGTCTGCCACTGGAAGTTGTGAGTGCTCCATCACTAAAGATTTTTATGAAGAAATTGGACAGCCAGAATGGTATAGGGTCTATACCAAAGGTCTTCAAACTTGGCAAGTTTAAAACTTGTGGACTTCAACTCCCAGAATTCCTGAGCTAACATGACTGGAGGAGGAATTCTGGGAGTTGAAGTCCACAAGTCTTAAAGCTGTGAAGTTTGAAGACCCCTGGTCTATACCAATGGTATATAGGACTGAGGGTGATATGATAGCACTGTTCCAATATTTGAGGGGCTCCTACAAAGACACGCGGGTCCAACTATTTTCCAAAGCATCACAATGCAAGACAAGAAACAATGGTTGGAAACTAAGGAGAGCTTCTTAAAGAGAGAAGCAACATAGAACTAGGGAGAAAATTATTAACGGTAAGAGTAATCAACCAATGGAACAGTTTGTCTTCAGAAGTTGTGGATGCTCTATCACTGGAGGCTTTCAAAAAGAGACTAGACACCATTTGCCTGTTCGAGCAGGGGTCGGACTAGAAGACCTCCAAGGTCCCTTCCACCTCTGTTATTATATATTCTCAGCTGAATAGTCCCTCAGTCTCTTTTCTTGACATCCTCACATCAAACCCTGAGATTTCCCTGGACCTGCGTCACAGGTGAGAAACTCAGCATCACAAACCAGCGTCACTATTTGACCTCAGCAATTTTCAGGCTCAAAAAAAATAAAATAAAAATGCAAGGCTGGGATAGCATACAAGTGGGAAATTTAGAGCCTTGCTCCTGTTTCTAAAAATTGCTACGACCGGCAGAGGTTTTGCTGGGGTGCCACGTCCAGAGAAATATAGACACAAACCATCCGAATGGTCTACTTATGGGATGAATGAGAGACCCCAAACAGGCCAGTCAGAACCAAAAGACAAAAAATAAAATGCAGCAGTCTATCCCACATCGGCCCGGTGGCTTTGGCTGCCATATCCCTCTTTTAAAAAGTGGCTTTTGTGGTTGGGAAAAAGTGGAGATTCCTTGTTTTTCTCTGCCTACCCAAGCAGGAAAAGAGCAGAAAGAAACTTTTTCTTTCTTTTTTTTTCCCCCTTCTTC